ATCTAGAAGTCAAAGAGGAAAATCTAAAATAAAAACACTGAAAAAAGATCAGAGGTAAGAGGAAACTGTATCCCTAAAGTCCAAAGATGAAAGTGTCAAAAAGAGATCAATTGTTAAACACTGGTAAGAAGTCAAGTAAATTAAAGAATTATCTGTTTTCAATTTTATGGGCCTCTTCTCAATGCATATTTTCAAGAAAGTAAATTTGTTGTTACTATACTTTTGAGCAACACCAAAGCATGCCATGATTACAGGAGCTTATTATTCAAGCTTTTAAAAAGTGAAATTAATTGGAGAAAAAAGGGAGTGAAGTTTTTAAATTGCAATTTCAAAACAATTTACTTACCTTACTATGACTATTTTTTTTTTAATGACTATGTTTAGCAAACATTGATAATCATGCTTCTGTAGAAAAGAATTTACCATTCACAATTTTCTTATATACTGTTTTCTGCTTTCCTGTGTAGTAGTGGTTTCGGTACATAAAGGAGCCAACCTTCAAAACTCCCAATTATAAATATCTGTTTTTAAAACTACACAGACATTAAGAAAACTATGGAAAGATACCCACAAAAGATATTTGGCAGGGAGTCATGCAAGAGGAGAGGTCTTAGTGAGAAAGAAGAGGCAGTCAAGCAAAATCTAGAGGTTTAAAAATTTATGATTCCACATATATATGTTATATACGTGTAAATGTTATATACATATAAAAACTATTATCTTATTTGCATGGGGAAATTATAAGAAAACACAGATCCACAGGCTAAGTTGCTTTGTTAAATGAAAAGGAAAATAAAAGGCATGTCTTTATTATAGTAAAGACAAACCATTTATGTTTGCATTAGCAAGGAAAAAGTATAAAAGAATACAAAAGAAGCTACCTTGACTCCTTCTACAGGATGGAACTGTAAAGGGAGTTTTGCATTCACACACTTTTGAATGCACTGTTTCACTCAAACATATACTGTTGTTCTGAAAAATTAGAAGAAAATCACTTGGAGCAGGGCTTAAAAATACATACCTTGACCTTGCCATACTTTAGAAGGTATTACTAATATTTTATCACAGGATGCAGAGGGCTGGATCCACCTCCATACTAGAAAATCTGCACCACCTATTCTTCGTGTTTCCGTGCGAACTCTAGACTCATTGGCGGCAAGGAAGTCAACAGCTCTATCCCAGACTTTCTTCATTTTTTTCCTATTATGTAAACAAAATAACAAATTTACTATCACCTTGGCTTATCATTTTTTTTTTTTAAATGACAGCATGTGAAATAATGGTTAATGTTAATTCTGGCTGTTCTCATTACCGTTCCCAGAGTTTAAAAGATTTAGATACCTGTACCTCAGCTCAAGCTTTACTAGATTTCAATTTCCAGAGATGAAGTATGAGCATGTTGCTTTTTTTTGTTTTGTTTTTAAATCTACAAGCTCCACTGCTGACTATGATGTGCTGCTAGAGTTAAGAATTCTGTTTTAGAATATGGCATCATTCAATTTCAAAGTTATTTTGTAGTTTTTATTTTAAAAGCCTCATAACAACATAGTAAGTATTTAAAAACCTTAGTAAAACAGCACTGGCTATTGTGTTTAAGATGAAATTCAAGGAAGTAAGATGGAGACTGACAACAAAAAACATCAAGAAGTATAGGAATGAGAGTGATTTAGAAACCCAGTTGTCTATTATGCCATTCAAAATCAGGAGGAAAAATGAAGAAAATTCAGAAAGAAATGAAAATGTCAAATATTTTAAGTCTGTACAGCAAAACTGATCTAGCTGAGAAG